AAAAATTCAAATTTCACTAGATGGGCAACAAGAGAAAAGGTAAAGATGGAAACATTTTTATAGATTCGAACCAAACCCACGCCTAAAAACCTTTAGTCACTAAATACGTAAACTCGAGAGAGAGAACCAAAACAGAGATAATATAAGTAGCCATAAGGAAAACGTACGTTGAGCTGAGTGCTGTAGCGATTGATGAGATCGGTAGCGTATTGTTCGGGTGTGAATTGTCTGCTAGAAGAATAGAACGTAGGCATGAAGTAGTTGTTGAGATAGTCGTTGCTTCCTAAACCAACAGAGTAAATGCATCTCTTGAGGTAATCTGCTGCTTGAGTCTCGCCTCCTAGCAGATTTACGACCTGCGATACCGTGCTCTGGTAGTTCCTAACTTGACCACTAAAGCTTATCCTTTGTCCCTTCATTTCCCCCAAAAACAAAAAAAAAGTTGGAACTTTTCTAACAGTTGATGAATAAAGAGAGTTTAGAAAGAGTGGTTTTTATGTTTAGTTTACCAATTGTCTACCGGTTTCTTCTCGGATTCCAGCAGCTGCTGATGCGTAGTTAACTCCTCCGAGTATTTGCCGACCACTCGCCTCGGTATACGCAGGAATGTAGCCATTAAATCCAAGTAGCTCAGCTTCATTACATCACAAAGACATATCAAAACCCATGCTATAGATAAGGATTATTAACATTACATACTATGTAGTTTTAAAAAAAAAACATTATATACTGGAGTATGTAATTAGCAACAACTCTAGCTACTTAAATATAGAGAAAATAGATTGTAAAAAGGATGCATACCGATCTCGTCAACAGTGGTCTTGCCGTTGGAGAAACGGCCGGTAGGGCCGCCAAAATCGATGCCGTAAGGGAAGTAATTGGATCTTGCAATAGAAATAAGACCATTGTTGTTTCCATTGTCAACCAAAGAGTCACCAAAAATGAAGTAACATGGAACTTGTTGTGCTTTTACAACACTAAATCCCAAACCCAACAAAACAAACACTACACACCATTTCTTTAAGTAACTCTCCATTTCAAAAAATCCAAAATCAACTGAGTGATAAAAAAAAGATATAGGAAATGGAAAGTGTAGTGAATGTGAAGAAGTCCAAAGAAGTTGTGTGTGTATTTATAGACATGTGATATTTTGATTTTGATACTATCTTTAAATTTGTAGGGCTACTCACTTTAAGATTGGTGGGTCCAATATTAAAAATCTGATTTTACATGTCTATTTTTGTTCTCATTCATTAATCAAAATTTAAGATCGATTTATCAAGGGCTTTTTATCCAGTTATTTAAAACGTAATGTACCGACAACTACATTGACTTTAACCACGGACTAAAGATCATCATTAGTTAAAGAGTTTAAGAGGAAGTCAAAGAAACAAAAACTGAAAGTAAAATTTTAAATTGAATACATGTTTTAGTCATGCCAACAAACAATAACTTTGCTACATATGAAATATTTGTTTTCTCTCAAGCAAGTAATTGTCTAAATTCTTCATAAAATGACAAAAAAAAGAAGAAGATATTAATTTAAGAGGAGAACAAAATCGTAGGATTGACAAAGCCACTTGTGCTTGGGACCGTTGACCAGAAGTAGGAGTTTTTTCCGCGTACAAAATGCAAACTTGGTCGTAAGTTGGACATTAAATGAGTCAATTAAAAATCATTAGTATATATCTAAATACGAATGAGAAAGAAAATCGTAAATAGATTGTGTACAATGAGTGCACTTGCTGTGTGTATATAATACAGTGCATGTCTAAAAATTAAAAGATTGCAATTATTTCGAAAATGAAGGAGAAATTGGTGCAAAGAAAACAGGTGAAGAATTAGGTTTGGGCATTAAATGAGAAGGTGTGAATAAATCAACGACTTTGTATCATAATTGACCAAGGCCGGTGCTGCTCCCATGTCCCTCTTTCCAACTATTTCCATTTAAGATCGTATAGATGCAACTCTTAGGCTTAGCTTATGATTTAATTAAAACAAAATTAAATTAAAACCCATGCCTTAGGACAATAAGACACATTTATTTATATTGCATGTTATAATAGGGATGGATTTTTTTTTTTTATGGAGCATAATAGGGGTGGATTTAAATCTGATGTTAAAGAAATGTTGGGTATTAAAAGTATTGGGTGGTTTATTGGTTCGCGTATTCTGTTTGTTGATACCTGAAAGAAATGAATTTTTGGAGACATAATTGTTATAAATATAAAAACCTAGTTGAAAAAGAAAATAAATGCTCATATTGCGACTTATTATGATGATATATGTAAATACTCTCATAAGTATAAGAAAGGACATTTATAATGCCAATATATACGTAGATTTGTTCAGCTGTAGCTGTAGATTTGTTGTTGTAGAGTTTAGTGCATGATTGGTTGGGTTTTAAGTCTTGTCTACAGCCTTAATTTTTCTTAAAGCATCATTATGTTACCAATCATGTTGTAGCTTTAATTCTTTANGTTTCAAACCTACATCCTTTGTTACCAATCATGTTTTTGCTTTAATTCTATAAGCTACAGCCTCTTTAATTTTTTTTCAAATTTATTTTGTTGTAACATGTAAAATCCTACAGCCCCATTTTTATGGCTGTACACTCTTATTTTTTTAAAAAATTATTTTTAAAAAATGGAAAAATCAAGATAAGCACATCGATTTACCTAATTGAAAAAAGTCTAACCTATATATATATATGTGTGTATATTGCCGTCACAAAGGTTTGAAGAAACACGTCTTCTTATTTTCTCTTCACCACAAATCAAATCAGTGAGTCTCTTTTCTAGATTATACAATTTTTTTAATGATTTTACTTATTATGAATGATTCAGAAGTTTATTATTTATTATGTTCAAATCAACATAAAATTTCTAAATTATAACAATTTTATTTGCATAAATTAATTTAATTAAAACTACAGCACATATCTTATAGTTACCAATCGTGTTTTTATTTTAATATTACAGCTACAGCTTAATATGTACAGCAAAAAAAATCTGCAGCCTAAAAATGTACAGCCTAAAAAATGTACATCTACAGCCAAAACATTTACAGCAAAAATTCTACAGCAATTAATCTACAGCTACAACCGAACCAATCACCCACTTAGTTTGTAGATTTTTCTGCTGTAGCTTTAGATTTTGTATGATATGAGAAAATCCTATAGCCTTTTAAAACCATAGAATAGTTGTTTTAGG